GTGGGGGTGACAGGGTGGGGGGGTGAGAGGGAGAGGGGCGATGATGAGAGGGAGAGCGGGTGATGTTGAGAGGGAAAGAGGTGTGATGGTGAGAGGGAAAGAGGGGTGATGGTGAGAGGGAGGTGGGGTAATGGTGAGAGGGGGTGATGGTAAAAAGGGGGCTGATGGTGAGAGGGAGAGGAGGAGGATGGGGAGAGGGATAGGGGGTGATGGGGAGAGGTGGGTGATGGTGAGAGGGAGAGGGGGTGATCGTTAGAGAAAGATGGGGATGATGGTAAGAGGGATGATGGTGAGAGAGAGGTAGAGGGGGTGATGGGGCAGGGGGTGATGGTGAGAGGGAGAGGGGGTGATGGTGAGTGAGGGTGATGGTGAGAGGGAGAGGGGGTGATGGTGAGAGGGAGAGAGAGAGGGGTGATAGTGAGAGGGAGAGGGGGTGATGGTTAGAGAGGGTGATGGTGTGAGGGAGGTGGGGAGATGGTGTGAGGGAGGGCAGGGCCGCCATCATGGGGTGACAACCATAACGGTTGTCACGGGCCTGGCACTTGTAGCGGCAGAACTGTTCCAGCAGGGCCCGCACGCTGATGGGGCCCATTGGGTGGCCCACATACTTAGGGCCACCCGATGGGCCCATATCTTCAGGGGCCCGGTCAGTGCTGTGGCCGCGGTACAGCGCGACCGGCCCCTTTAAAAAAATAAAATAAATGCCGCCGCAGCGCAAGTGCTGCTGGGAGGAAGTGGTCACTTCCTCCCAGCTCACTCCGCGCGGGAGGAGCGTGCACCCTGCAATGAAGAGGGAGAGCCAGCCGACTCCCAGTCCCATCAGCCCCAGCCACCCTCCTGCAAAGACAAGGTAAGAGACAGGAGGGTGGCTGGAAAATGAGCTGTGTGTGTATGTGTATGTGAATGTATTTCTGTATGTATGTATGTCTGTATGTATGTCTGTATGTATCTCTATGTCTGTGTGTATGTATGTATGTATGTCATTATGTATGTATGTCTGTATGTATGGATGTCTGTCTGTATGCATGTCTGTATGCATGTCATTATGTGTGTATAAATGTCAGTGTATGTATGTCTGCATGTCATTATGAATGTGTGTATGTATAGATGAATGTATGTATGCCAGTATGAATGTATGTCTGTATGTATGTCTGTATGTATGTATGTCTGTATGCATGTCTGTATGTCTGTATGCATGTCTGTATGTATGTATGTATGTCTGTATGCATGTCTGTATGCATGTCATTATGTGTGTATGAATGTCTGTCTGTCTGTATGAATGTATGTATGCCAGTATGAATGTATGTCTATATGTTATTATGAATGTGTGTATGTATGGATGTCAGTGTCTGTATGAATGTATGTATGCAAGTATGAATGTATGTCTGTATATCATTATGAATGTGTCTGTATGTCCTTATGCATGTGTCTGTATGTATGTTAGTATATGTCTGTCACTATGTACACCTGTGTGTCTGTATATGTGTGTATGTCTCAGTATGTGTGTGTCAGTATGTATGCCTAAACGCGTATCAGTGTGTGTGTGTGTATCTGTGTCCTTTTGTATCAGTGAATGTGTTTGTGTCTGTGTGTGTATTCCTGTGGGTGGGATTTGGAGGCGGTCTCTGTGGGTGGTTTTGGAGGCGGGACCCCAGGGGCCCAGACCCTGAGCTCAGTTAGGGGCCCCAAAATTTCTGGTGGCGGCCCTGAGGGAGGGGGGTGATGGTAAGAGGGAGAGAGGGGTGAGAGGGGGTGATGGGGAGAGGGAAAAGTTGGTGATGAGGAGGGGGGATGGGGAGAGGGAGAGGGGTGATGGTGAGAGCTAGATTGGGGTAATGGGGAGAGGGGGCAATTGGAGAGAGGGGGTGATGGGTTGAGGGGGAGGGGGACACGAGGTCACACATTTAGATTGGAAGAAAGAAGATTTAGTCTCAGGCAAAGGTAAGGGTTTCTTACAGTAAGAACACTAAGGATTTGGAGTTATCTGCCTGAAGAGGTGGTTTTATCAGAGTCTATACAGATGTTTAAACAGCAATTGGATAAATAATTGCAAAAACATAATTTACAGGTATATCATTTTTAATTAATAGGGTAATAGCTTCTTGATCCAAGCATATATCTAACTGTCATTCTAGGGGTCAATAATTATTTTTCCCCTAGTTTGTTGCACAATTGGAAACCTTTCAGAGTGTTTTTTTTTGTTTCCTTGTAATCAACAGCAAAAATAAATGTATGGAAGGCTGAACTTGATGGACGCATGTCTCTTTTCAGCATTCGTCAAGCTGCGGTTAACCGCAGCTTCCGGGAGGTTAATTGCCGACACACTCCAGCTCCCAGTTGGTCCAGTTATTCGTGCATTAGTTTGGTAGATTGAATCTACTGACCGCCGGGCAGAAAGGCACGAATAAGCCTTTTCTGCAGGCGAAAAGAAGTCTTTTAACATGGGGCCATAATCCAAAGGCAACAGGCGAGCAACCAAGCTTCTCCAATGCAATGTGGCGAGATTGGTCTCGTCACAATCACCTATTTCTGTCTCTTCATCAATCACATATGGATACATATACACAGACACACACATTGATACACAGACTCATGCACAACATATAGACAGACAGACAGATAGATAGATAGATAGATAGAATAAATATGACAATAAACTGACACCCTAGCGTAATGACAATTGCCTTGGCGATTGCCCTCCTTGGGCTTTTTTCAATATTTGATATATATCTTAACTAAACAATAGTAATATCTAAGGGTGGATTTAATAAAAAGGGGGCAATAACAGTACATAAGTATTTACAAAGCGTAAAAATGGCCTTAACCACAAAGGCTCAGAATATCAGAAAAACCACAGTCACTGACAGATGAAACAACTTTTAGGGGCTCTCCTTAAATGCATGCTGTACAGTGGTCACTTCTAAAGTGGGTGTCAAAGTCAGAATTCAAAATAAATGTTTTAAAAAATGGAATTTTGAAGTGGACAGCCAGAACATGCCTTATACTGTATTAAAATACCTGAATATCAGTGGGATAATACTCTTTTTTTATTTTTAGTTTAATTTGTCAATTTTTTACAATTTTTTTCTCAGCCATATCTGTCATTAAATGCCTCATATCTCTCGTTAAATTACTCAAACAAACTAGAAACAAATCAGTGTATAATTTCTGGTAAACACTTTATTAATAAACAAAAAAGTACACTTTTTATTTAAAAATGATATTAAAAGTATTTGCTTTTGTGAAGTAGAAACAAAATAAATTAGTTTAGTTAGCTAAAGACCTAGAGGAAACAAGTAAGGGTGATCATGATGATGTTCAAAAATATAAACACAGTGAGTTATTTGCATATACAATATATACCATAAATACTGCAAGATAAAGGTATTTAATTAAAACATAAATTCTAGAAAAATTAAAATGTAATTGTTTGAAATATTAACCCATTTAGGTTAAGGATAATATAACAGCATATACTAAACATGTATCTGTGTGCCCACCTCTTAGTAGTAAAATTCTTCTCAGAAAATCTCCTACATGTAGTCCTTCAACCCCCTCCCTTGGTTATCCCCTGTTCTGAGCTCAAATCACCCACACCTTGCCAAGCGTACTCTTCTCTGGTTCAGACATTTTGGCACATCCTACTAGCTTGTTTGATCTATGTAAATCTGTCAGAATGCCTGGATCAGTGAAATGCCAATGTAGGTGTCTGAATCAGCACAACATATTTAGTCGATGATGGACTTGAAGGAGGCATTAACTCAGAGGGAAAGGACACGTGGAAAAAGTGATAAACCTTCCTGCCACTTCCCTGATTGATGCCATTCAAATAAATAAAACACTAAGGGTTCTTGAGAATGTATAAAGAGAGAAATTTAAAGTACCTAAAGTTTTTTAATAAACATAGACTATCTATCTATCTATCTGTCTATTTATCCATATTTCTGTCTTTCTGTGCCTCTGTTAGTATTTATGCGTAGAAGCTGTAGAAAAATACATTTTGTGAGTAGAGAGCCGGTCCGGTGCAAGGATTTTTGCCGCCCTAGGCAAAAAAATGTTTGCTCCCCATTTGCTCCACCCATTCATGCAGACTGACATACACTGACCCAAGCAGACTGACGCAGATGCACTGACCCAGGCAGACTAATGCACACACACTGACCAATGCAGACTGACGCACACTCACTGACACACACAGATTGACGCACACACTGACCCATGCAGACTGACACACACACACTGATTAATACAGACTGATGCACACACACACACACACACACACTAACCCATGCAGACACACACTGTCTCATGCAGACACACACACTGGCCCATGCAGACACATACACGGACACAAACTGACCCATACTGCAGACACACGCTGACCCATAGCGACACACACTGACCTATGCCGACACACACTGACCCATGCAGAAACACACTGACCGATGCAGACACATACAGACACACACTGACCCATACAGAAACACACTGACCCATACAGACAAACACTGACCCATACAGACACACACTCAACCATACAGACAAACATTGCCCCATACAGACACACACTGACCCATACAGACAAACACTGACCCATACAGACACACACTGACCCACAAAGACACACACTGACCCACACAGACAAACATTGACCCATATAGACAGACACTGACCCATACAGACACACACTGACCCATACAGACACACACTGACTAATACAGAAACACACTGACCCATACAGACACACACTGACCCATATAGACAAACACTGACCCATACAGACTGACATACACAAATTCTTCACAAATACACATTCCCCATTGACCCACTTACCTTTCTTAATATTTGACTTCTTGTCACATGTTCCTGGCCGCTTCCCTGCACCTGGTCGCCTTCACTGGATGTCAGCCCGCCCCTGCCATGCTCCTGCCCACTTGTCCCCACGTACAGGGCAAGGGGCGGGAGAGAGAAATTGAAGCACCCTTGGGACTACTGGAGGGCCTGGCTGAGCAGGCTGAAGTGCATACCGCCGGACCAGTGTTACACCGCGCGCTAGTCAGCAGACATGTAAGTATCCCTAGTGCCCGGTAACATGGCTGGCGGCACGATTTGTAGAATTACTAAAACATAGAGGAATGATCAAAGGAGCAGAGCAGTACCCCCCTTTAAGCAGCGCCCTCGGTGGCCGCCTAATTGGCCTATAGGACGCGCCGGCCCTGGTAGGGAGGTACATCTAACTGTTCTCACCAGCGTATGCCATACAATATGATCAGCAGTTGTAGGTTTTTGTTAACTTGAAACAAGCATATTTAGTTACAACTATTTTTACCAGCTGTCATACAAAATGAATATACACAAAGCTTAAAGACAGGGAACAGCAATAAAAAGGGACCAGCATTATTAAAAAGAGAGCCTGAAACAAAAGGGAAAATAAGATATAAAAATATGTATACCATGCTGCAAGCATACCTCGAAAAAGAATCATATAAGCTTAAAATTGCTGATTCTCATGTTACATGTCTATTTTTCTTGCCTGAAATGTATTATTCCCCTGTATTCTTGTTTAATATACAAACTGCAAATTAACCTTTATTGATGATGATGTCATAATGACTTAACTCCATAATCAATAGGAGGTAATAATCCATGCATAGAAACAAAATCACAAGCTCCCTCAACTAACCCATTAAACACACTGTGGGGATTCTGTTTTCTTCCTTATGTCATGCAATAGATTGATCCTGCAACGCTGTAGGGTTTGAAAGTGTTCCAGATATATGTTTCACATTCTGATAATTAGACCCAAGTGTAACTTCTATGGACATTTGTGTGTTTGTAACCTTTTGTTCTCCTTTTCCGAATTAAACCAAACATATTCTCCTTTTTTGGATGAAATAGAAAATGTTGTGTATTATGTTTAAATAGATAGATGACAGACAGAAAGACATACTGGTAGATAGATGACAATACATCATAGATCACATACATAACATAGAAACATAGATAGATAGATAGATAGAGTAATGGAGCTCCCTGTACCCCTGGCTGGGTACCTCTGCTAAGGACCGCTTCCTAGCTGGAACAGGGGACAAACCTCAGCACTCCTGCCCCCAGTCGCCGAGACTGGACTGGGGTCCTGGAACCACTCCGTCTGGGAGCCGAACCCCTCCTCTGTGTCTGAGACATAACTGAATCAGGAACTGAACTAACTCAATTATCTCAAGGCACATAAAAACATACAATATCACAAAACCCCCAAAATACCTTTAACCCCTTAAGGACCAAACTTTTGGAATAAAAGGGAATCCTGACATGTCACACATGTCATGTGTCCTTAAGGGGTTAAAACACATAAAAACCCCACAAAGGTTACTCCTGATAGCCCAAATCTGGGTGACCAACATATCCAAAAATCACCCAGATCTGTTCAGGGGTTCGGAATTTCCCTGGAAGTCATAATTTTGACCGACCACTCACATGGTTCTATGCCCAAAACAGCTCCATGAAATCAGTGCTAATGGTCGGTCAAGTTCGGTAGTTTAAAAAATGAACAAACTACCGAACGGAATCCATAGTTCTACCGTGGAGCTTGTTCACCTTGTTGGTGGGAACGTTTCCACCAAACAGTGTCATTCTAAGTCGTATAGAACCGAACGCAGGCGATGATAGAAGTCCAGCGGTGTTTGGGAGTTTCTGTGTCCGATTTCAGTTCCATGAACTCGACGACCAAACACCACTGCCTGAATTTATGCAAACAAAATGACCGCTACCTCGTGGTTGTTCATGCGAACAGCAGCCACCCAGCTGAAAAATTAGAACACTGCAGTGGAACATATTACAAACTGTCAATTAGGCTTATCAAGCTCCCGCGACCAAGGTAAGTATGACATATCTCTGTTGGCGTCGCTGCTTAGTTTATATGCAGCCACGTGGGCAGAAGAGCCGGGAGCCGTGATAGATAAATAGATAGATATATAGATAGATAGGGTATGCACCAGTGCATACAGACTGCTCGCTCCTTGGGCTGCACAGTAACAGGTAGTAGGTGCCAGTATATTACTTTGCATCCCAACACCCTCTACCTGTGATATTCAAAGAGGACTATTGTAATTAAGCTTGAAGATGCAGCTGCCAGCATCAAGGGGCATTTATATAAAGAGAACGGAAACTTTCATCACAATGATTATCAGTAAACCTACAAGATAAGTGTTACTAGATGAGGCTGCATTGTGTCCGCATACACCTCTCAACATCTTGTATTTCTAATCCATTGGTAGGGGAACCAGGTTACATTTTTGACAAACAAGTGCCTACCTTGCAACTTTAAATTGAGGGTAATTTATTAAATACAGTATGGATAGGAATATGTAACATAATTAAAAATATCTATGTATAAATCCTAGTTGGGAGAGTAACAGAAAATATAGCGATATAGGCACAGACCATATCTGAGTTTCTGGTTTGGGGTTGTTGTGGGTGGTTTGTGGTTTGGTTCCTTCATTTTCACCCTAGTATCCTTTACCTCTGTATATACCTGACTTCTGTATACTGGCTGGGACAGTGCTCAGTTTAGGTTTAGACCTTCTTAGTAGCTCGGCTCATCTCGGCTCATCTTAGCTAACTCAGCAGTATTTTTATAGATATATGTGTATACGTATGTGTGTATATATACACATATATTACATATACTTTTTTGTCTCTCCCTTGCCTTTTTTACAACTCCCATTTCCTCTTAGGACTATTAACGGTAGGGTTTCCCTTCTCTACATTTTATGTTACTCTCCCAACTAGGACTTATAGTTCACCCTTTTCTGTTATACTGTATTTTGTGGGTTATTCCCCAACTTCTAGGAGAGTAACAGTGGGCATTTTCAAAATGAATCCAATAGCCCCTAGCACTATTGGGACTTCTGGATCAGCTCTTATCTACTTTATATTAGTTTTATAATAGAAAATTAGACTTCTTTCACTGATTTTGTGTAAATATAATCCTACTAAAGAATACCATGTATAAAAAATGACTGAAAAGAACATTGTGACGGACGGCCTGGCACCCTGACTGGGTGCCTCCGCCAATCGCTGCTTCCTAGTAACCCGGAGTACTATAAGCACCACACCAGACACCATAAGCACCGTAGCCCTTAGCCAGAGAGTATGGTAGGTATAGCTGTGTAGCTCTTACAAGAGCTAGTGATTATAGCCAGTATAGTAATCCAAAGCAGGTATAGCTGCTATAACTGTACCCTACAATCACGAGACAAGGCTGCTTGTTGAGGGTGAAGTGAACTGATTTTAATGGGACCACACTTGGCACTCCCTCCTGGACCTGAGAGTAAACCACAGTAGAAAAATATACACAATCATATTGGCTCTCAGATCCAGGACACTCCTATGCAAACTAGGCCAATTCCTCCTCTGTACCTGGGAGATAATTGAGTCAAATACTATATTAGCTCCATTAACTCCAGACACAAAAACACACATTTTTATAAAAGCCCAAAAATACCTTTAAATAATACAAAACCCCCTCAAACATCCCCTGATATCCCCGATATGGGTGAACAACATATCCGAAAATCACCAAGATTGGTTCAGGAGTTCAGGAATTTCCTGGTAGTCATAGTTTTGGCCGACCACGCGTATAGTCCCATGCCCAAAACAGTTCCATAGAATCGCGGCTAAGTGCTGCTGGGGATCGACCGTGAACCGCAAAGTCTTCCTGCTGAGAACAGTTCCATAGAATTGCGGCTAAGTGCTGCTAAGTTAGGGTAGTCTCCGGTGCCAGGCTCTGTTCTGTCTGTCCCAGGTTGCTGTGTGGGAGTACATCACCCTTGGTCACTCCTTTGCTCCCAGCCTTGGCAAAGCCTGGGCTTAGGGGGCAGAGGCCAACGGAGCTCTGCCCTGTAGCCATCGCTTCTGCTCAAGTGTACATCCTCAAATGTACACATCTATGCAGACGACACAGTAATCTATGCAAGCAAATCCAATCTACTGCAGCTTGAGGCTGTGCTCCAAAACCAGTTTACAGAGGTAGAAAAGTGTCACAATGATCTTTGGAACAGTACCTAAATTACACACATTACACAATTCCCACCTATCCATCAAAACAAAATCAAATAGCACACTGATCGCAGTCCACTCTTTCAAATACTTGGGTTTGTTGTTAGACCACAATCTATCTTTTGGCCTCCACATAGAAAAACTTGCATATAAACTTTATACAAAACTAGGTGCCCTATAGAGAAACAAATCCTGCCTAAGTCCTCCAGTAAAGGAAAAGATTGTACAGCAAATGCTGATGCCAATCATTGATTATGGAGATGTAGTATATGCACCTGCACCGCAAACCTACCTTAATAAACTCAATACATTGTATAACTCATTCTGCTGATTTGTGCTACAATGTAATTACAGGACCCACCATTGTGACATGCTAAAAGAACTAAACTGGTTGTCGCTGGAATCCAGACGCACCCTTCATCTTTCCAGCCTTGAGCTTTTCTGGGAAGCTCCCACCCTACCTGAGCAGAATGCTCTCCCCCACTGTTCCCACCTCCTATAACCTCCGATCCAGTACCAGCACTTTATTGAGTCTACCGCAATACAAAAAGAAAGCAGCCTGATCCTCCCTTTCCAACAGAGCAACGCAATTATGGAACAACCTCCCGCACACTTTCAAATCTTCCCCAAGCCTAAAGTCCTTTAAGAGATCCCTCTCTACATACCTCAAAACAGAATGCACGTGTCATGGTTGATTATATATTTCCTACCTGTTCTATGTTAAATTTTGTATATATTGTGTATTAATATTGTTTTTGTATTTTATTGTACCCTATTGTATCAATGCAATGTTTTGTGGACCCAAGACATACTTGAAAATGAGAGAAATCTCAATGTATCTTTCCTGGTAAAATATTTTATAAATAAATAAAAGGGAGGGCAGAGGCCAACTGTTCTCTGCCCAGGTGCCAGCTCTTCTGCTGGGGGGACTGGTACATAGTCATGCCCTGTAACAAGGGGGCAGATAGGGCGCTCTGCCCTGATGCCAGATCTTCCGCTGGGATGGGGTCAATGGATGCGGTCGTCTCATCCACTACCCTCATGACCCGGTTGGGGGTTTGCTGCTGCGGGGAGGGATCATCTGCCTCTTTCCCCTGGTATTCCTGCTGGGGCTGTTGGGATCTGAGATGGCTGTCCAGCATCCCTGTAGGTCTGGTGCAGAGACTGCGGTCCCATCTGCACCATTGGGGTCATGGGTGCTGTCCCCCTGTAGTTGGGGAGAAGGGCCAGTTGTCTCCTCTCCTGGTACCTCTGGCTGCAGCTGGGGAGAGAGACCAGTTGTCTCCTCTCCCTGCATGGTACACTGCTGCTGGGGAGTAGGACCGACTGTCCCTCCTCCTGCTAACTCCAGCTGTAGTTGGGGATCTGGGCCAGCTGCCCAGCATCCCTGTAGGGCCTGTGGAGAGACTTCTGTCCCATCTCCATATGCCTGTTGGGGATAAAATCAGCCCGGGCCCTTTGTGGATGATGGATATTTGCCAACTCATACAGAGCTCTGGAAATTGGAAATGAATAGCAGAGACGTGTTCAATAACCAATTCAAATTGTATTCATACGTCAGTTATATTTATACCCCATTTTCATAGCAGGATGGGAGGGGGAAAAATGAGCATATGGGCGTGACAATGCCATTGTTTTTCACAAGTTATAAACAGCTGTTTTTAGTTATAATTCAATGTTACATAATGTATGCATATTGGATAAAACCCAGATGATTACAAATACCGAAATCTTGGACAATTAACAAGGTCATTCCAGAATCCTTATCATGTCATGTCATGTCATGTAGATATCCAAAATCATGTTCCAATAACATTTCCCGTAAATAGATAAGTTTTATTTCCGAGAATTGGAGATACAATTCCAAATTTATTCTTGGGTCAAATTAACCCTTATATGAACAGCTAGGATATTGAGCATAATGGATATTCGCATCTACAATTCCCCTCTTAGATCATATCATGATCTACCTTACGGAATATCCATGGGAGGCCTGCGGCAGAGAAACCAAAGGAGGTATATTCAGATGTGCTAATCACGTCTGCGGGACTTTCATTATTTCTTCACCTCGATTTCCCCCATTTGCTCTGTGCCGTAGGTGTTACCTTTAAGAGGAGATCGAGCTGTCAATTTTCAGCTTCTGTAATCATCGGTTGTACACATCTTTTAAGTACTGTATACAAGTTAAAAATTTCAAACAGCTGACATCTTAACCAATTTTAAACAGACTGCACATCGTGTTATCTGTAACTTGAGCCTTGGATCAAAACACGCAAAGTGTATTATTCCCAACAACGGGAATATTATTATTATAATTCACAACGTAAACACATATAATCAAAAATGGGAATAAAATCTATTTCCCCTCTTTGGACCAGGGTCTTGGATTACCAGTCCACCCAGTGAACTTGGGCCAGGTCAAAAAACCCAGTGGCAAAAACTCATAATTGAGGAAAAAAGCACATCTGGGTAAATTCTAATTGAGGGCCATGACTGTGTAAACATGTCATCCCCTCACGTTGACAGCATTAGTGACTTATAAAACCTGCACTATGTAAGTAAATAGCTGGGATTGGGAAACACTTCTTGATTAGTTTGAAAAGGCCCACTTACATATTAAATCATAAGATCATTTCTAATCAGTTTGCAATTCTAGCAATAATCCCAATCATGACCTTGCGTCCTATGCCTCCTAATCAAATCCCTATTTCGATGGTCCAGTCATATCCACACTTAATACATTGGAATCCATCCTTGGTACACTCAACATACATCAATGACACACATAGTACATCCATGCCTGAGTAAGCTAACACTTCCTCTCTCTCCGGCTAACTCTACAAAAATAAAAATAACAAAATAGTTCAATAGTCCAGCATAGTCCAGAAAAATATTATAAGTCTTTCAAGGAGTATAAAGAATCTTAGACACCATAACATAGCTAAGTGTAGCAATATGGCTGACAACAAGACAATGTCAGCTTCCGCATAGTTCTTAATTCTTCTGTTTGCTGGATGTTCACCACAATACTCTGTGCAACACCCCAATTGTTGAAAGGGTAATACAGAAATAACGGCATTAGACAGCACTGCATCTTCAGGACTTTCCAAGTTACATAGAAACATAGAAACATAGAATGTGACGGCCGATAAGAACCATTCGGCCCATCTAGTCTGCCCAATTTTCTAAATACTTTCATTAGTCCCTAGTCTTATCTTATAGTTAGGATAGCCTTATGCCTATCCCACGCATGCTTAAACTCCTTTACTGTGTTAACCTCTACCACTTCAGCTGGAAGGCTATTCCATGCATCCACTACCCTCTCAGTAAAGTAATACTTCCTGATATTATTTTTAAACCTTTGTCCCTCTAATTTAAGACTATGTCCTCTTGTTGTGGTAGTTTTTCTTCTTTTAAATATAGTCTCCTCCTTTACTGTGTTGATTCCCTTTATATATTTAAATGTTTCTATCATATCCCCCCTGTCTCGTCTTTCCTCCAAGCTATACATGTTAAGATCCTTTAACCTTTCCTGGTATGTTTTATCCCGCAATCCATGAACCAGTTTAGTAGCCCTTCTCTGAACCCTCTCTAAGGTATCAATATCCTTCTAAAGATACGGTCTCCAGTACTGTGTACAATACTCCAAGTGAGGTCTCACCAGTGTTCTGTACAATGGCATGAGCACTTCCCTCTTTCTACTGCTAATACCTCTAAATAAGTTAGTTTATGTCCTCATAAGTAAGCATCTCAGTTTCTTCAGCCAGCATGGATTTTGACCAAACAGATTTAATTGCAAAAAAGGTAGGTAGGCAGGTAGGTCAGCCAGAGAGATTGGTGTAAGCATCTCAGTTTCTCAGTTGGTGTAACTCACAGGACCAGTCTGTAAGGTCCCCCTGTAATTGGGAAGAGGGACCAGCTGGCTCCTCTACTGGTGTATCAGGCTGTCGCTGGGGAGATGGACTGGTTGCCTCCTCTCCCTGTTATGTAAACTGCCGCTGGGGAGAAGGACCGACTGTCCCTACTCCCGGTAATTCCGTCTGTAGTTGGGGATCTGGGCCAGCTGGGCCCATCTCCACCTGCCGACTGGGGGTCTTCCCAGGACCAGTGTATGAGGTCCTCTACTTCTAGAGCTGGTAGTGAGACAGGGGGTACCTACGCCAGGTCTCCCCAGCTGTGGTAGGTCTGGGTCCGCCACCCAGCACTCCTGCTTGGCCTGCAGGGTATATTGGGGTCGAATAGAGCTGAGCAGGTGTTGGTAATGCTGCTCCAGCTCCCACTTTATGGTGGCCAGATGGATCAGGTCTGGTCCCAGGTCATCAACTCTAGCAAGACCCAGCAGGGCTTTCCTGGTGCTCTGGATTTCCCAGAGCCGAAATTCTGCCGAGCTGCCAAAGTCAATGTCTTTCTCAAAGGCCTCCCACAATAAGCCTGGGCCATCATATTCCTCTCCCTCTGGCATACTGTCATCAGTCAACCAGTGGCCGCTACGGCTGGCATCCCATTTTAGTGCCCGGTACACCTCGTCCAGCCACAACTCCCTCCGGGTTAGGTGCCACAGTTTCTCCACCCACTCATCCAGGGGTTGCTCTACCAGGAGAGGCAGCCATAGGGCCAGGTGTACCTGTAGCCACTACTCCTCGCTGGGGAGACTCTCACCACGCCGATGCTGTACATCCTATAGGGGCTTGTGCCAAAGCTTCGTCCTAGTGGCATCTCTGTAGTCCAGCATGTGTTCCTCTGACACAGGCCCATCCTGTAGGGCTAAATAGTTCAGCAACCTCCAGTGAAACTCCTCCTCATATGCGAACGCTGTCCGCGGACTAGCTGGTTCCATACCGCTGTACGAATACTAGCGTTGCCCTCACTTATAATGCACACGGCTGGTGTCTCCAGGATGCTTCTCCTTGTACTAGGAAGCCATCCCACTGCTGCCACCAGATGTGAAGGACCGTCTGGCACCCCAACTGGGTGCCTCCACCAATCGCTGCTTCCTAGTAACCTGGAGTACCATAAGCACCACACCGGACACCATAAGCACCGTAGCCCTTAGCCGCCGCAGCTTGGATGGGGTCTTGCTGTCCTCCACCCACCCTGGACCTAAGACAAGGATCCAGCTTCCAGTGGGTGGACCTCTCCTCCTCCAGAGAGTATAGCAGGTATAGCTGTGTAGCTCTTACAACAGCTAGTGAATATAGCCAGTATAGTAATCCGAAGCAGGTATAGCCGGAATAGCTGTACCCTACTATCACGAGACAAGGCTGCTTGTTAAGGGTGAAGTGAACTGACTTTAATGGGACCACACTTGGCCTTTTATGACAGTCCCAATGCAAGAGGGAACTCCCTCCTGGACTCGAGAGTAGACCACAGTAGAAACAAATACACAATCATATTGGCTCTCAGATCCACAACACTCCTATACAAACTAGGTCAATCCCTCCACTGTACCTGGGAGATAATTGAGTCAAGAACTGTATTAACTCAATTAACTCCAGACACAAAAACACACATTTTTATAAAACCCCCAAAATACCTTTAAATAATAAAAACAAAACCCCCTCAAACATCCCCTGAACAACATATCTAAAAATCACCCAGATCGGTTCAGGGATTCAGGAATTTCCTAGTTTTAACAGACCACGCGTATAGTCATATGCCCAAAACAGTTCCATAGAATTGCGGCTAAGTGCCGTTGGGGATCGACCGTTAACCGCAAAGTCTTCCTACTGAAAACAGTTCCAGAGAAACGCGGCTAAGTGCTGTTGGTGAACCGACCGGGAACCGCAAAGTTTTCATGCCGAAAATAGTTCCAGGGCATTCGCAGCTAAGTCCCCCTGAAGTCTATTCGCGGTTTTGGTCCATGCAAACTGCTGTCAGTGAGCTAGCGCTCAGTTCTATGGAAAGTGCCAAACCAGGGGGGATAAAATATGGGTCTTTACAGTCGTTGACCCTACCCATAGTCTTTTGGCAGGAGGCTGGTAAGCAGGCCCCTACAAAAGCCTGTGGCGAGGTTCTGTTCACCACATATCTTTGTGTTGTTTAAATGTTAACTTGCTTGATCAGGCGTACTAAAGATGTGATAGACTCAAAACATTGCCAAGTCCCTTATGCTGGTTATAATAAAGATATATTAAAATGTATATAGGGTAATAGAAATCTTGTACATATTAACAGCTGATATATAAATCGGGCCCTGACCTCTGCACCTTGAGGCATTCCCTTGTGGATTATGCTGTGGATATAAAAAAAGGGTGTAACGTCTGCTAATTTTGTGATGGACCCCACCTGGACCCCACCTTGGTGACATCATCAATGCTTGGTTACATCATGCTGAAAGATACTGTTCTACATAAGCAATGACTCCCAGGCTTCCAGTACTGACATGCTCTAAGACTCAGAGGGGCCAAATAGCAAAGGCATTCTATGTTTCAAATGTATGATTTGTCATCTTTGATGTAAATCTCAAGTTGTGTAGTTACACTGAATGCCTGAGGAAGGAAGCTTGCAGAGGCAGCTCAGGCATGCAATGGGGTTGCTGAGCTCAACAGTATTCCAATGCTTAATACATATATACTTAAAATATCCTTGGTTTACGCTTGTATTTATTTTGAAATAGTGTGCATCTTATTTTTAGTAATCTTCACATTTCCCCTGTTTCCAGTATTAATGTGAGAGGACACAAGTCTGCAACTATTGTACTCAGAGGTATTGATTCGAGTACAGAGATTCTTACGTAAGGAATGCGCTTTTACAGAGGACAACAATTAAAATATGCATGTTTCACTGATTCCCTTAAGGAATAGGGCACTTTTTTTGCATTGCAAAAATGTCCACAGAGAATACCACCATGGAAGCGTGAGGCTGTGTTTTTTAGCTCTTCATACAGTGCTGTGAAATAGTGTTATGAACATTCAAAGCAGTTAGGAAATCTAGATTTCGATATATTGAGAGACCATAACAGATCTCCAAGAAGGCAAATTGGATATTTATTTTTTTAGGATAGCTCATGAGGCTAAGAGGGTAGTGCTCAGTGATCTGATCACTTTCTTATAAGATCTGCCAATTTTCTAGTAAACTCTTCCCATTTCTAATAAAATTGAATTCAATCTGCATATTTCTTATAATAAGAATTCTTGAGCTTTGCCCATCTGTTCTCCACCCTTCTGTTAGAATGCAACATGAAGGATGTGTTTACAAATAACCATTTAAACTCCATGTACCATAAACATCTTATTCCGTAGCCCTGAATTCAGCCACTCACAGCTGAAACCTGAATAAAATTAACATAATCCTAGGTATAATTCCCTTTAAACACTAAATACCCCAAAACAAAATCTAGCTCAACTCAAACCCTAAACATAATAATCCTACGCACTCTCTGTACCTGGCTACTAAATTAAACCCAAATCTAACCCTAACTCAAAAATCCTAAACAGCCCTTATACTACAATTTTAACCCCTTTAACACCTTAACCCCTTAAAACCGGAGGGCGTACTATTACGCCCTATTCTAATCGTCTCTAAACGCCCTCCAATTTTTTCTTACTTACCCGGTCAGTGGATCCTGCCTCCTCCGGCCCCCCTGGGCCATGTGAGAGTGAGGTCCTTGCGAGGACCTCACAATCACATCGGGTTAGCTGGCTGCTGCATTGCCAGCAGGGGGACTGCCTGTAATGACAGTTAGTCCCCCTGGTGGCTGGAAATCAAATAATATAAAGTTAAAATCAGTGTAAAAAAAAAAAATTATGTACTTAGATCATATATATATATTGTTATATATATATTGTTATATATATATATGATCTAAGTATATATATATAAACACATATACATACACACACATACACACTGTCAAGGTGTATTTTACTATTAATATATATATATATATATATATATATATAATTATATATATATATATATTTGTGACGAAGTGCCCTTCGCCACTT